CCCCAAAACCCCAAAACCCCAAAACCCCACATTCCTTAATAAAATTGTCTTATTAAAAATGTCAAGTAGAACAACTCTGAGCTGGCTAGGGCCAGGAGCCCTGGCCCTAGTCATGCTGGTTGTTATAGGTAAGATTTTAGGAAAGACAGGTTTTAAGAGGGATTTGGGTGAGGGGAGGGAGATAAGGATTATAGGAAGTTGTGTGGGAATGGTGGAAGAAGAGGTAAGTGGTGGGGAAGGAATGAGGAATGTGGGGAAAGGGGGTTAGAGGGGAGGGATTGGGTAATGGGAGAGTTAGGTATCTTGGTTTGGGGGTTGCTTGTTTGAAGGAAAATTGAGAGTTTTGATTTTGAATTTCTAGGTAACTGCACTTTTGATAATCAAAAGTCTTCCATTTGTCTTTACATCATTATAACTAAAAATCGTATATTTTTTATTAAAATAATTATACTTTTTCTTGACCATTTTAAATCTTTCTAAAAATATTGCAAACCTCTTGAAAAATCAAATCATATTTTTATTTTAATGAATCATGAGCCATTTCAAGCCCATTGTCAATAGTATATTCTGCAATTTACTCCATCTTTAATACGTCGTATGGAAGACCCCATAAATTTATTATTAAAAAAGTTACTAACACAGAGGAATGATTTATAACAACGAGATAAGCTTCAGTCTTACCATCCTTTTAGTAGTAACCATGGCGTCTTTGTACATTTTTAAATGGTATAGGTCACCCTATCGTACCATTTTATTCCTACTTGATTTACCTTATTTTTCATATTCTTTGTCAAACTCTTACTTTCTAAACTAAAGAATGATTATCAGTGCTTTTAAAGAATCATAATGGGTTAGGAACAAAGGAAGAAGCATCTGAAGGCTTATATTAGAATGTGAGCCCTAGACCTAGAGTTTGAACAATTTTAGGATTCTATATTTCCTCTTATAATTTTGAAGAATAAGGACAATACTAATGCTGACCTATTCAGTTCTATAACCAATATTAATAGCCAATAAAACTTTTGGAGCTGTTTTCAAAATGCCATATCCCAGATCTTGACTAGACCATTCCCTAATCATCCTTACAATCACCTTCACATATCTTTGTTTTCTTCTCAAAACTCCTCCATGGCCAATCTCTGTTCACATGTTCATATTTAAATTTTCCAAAATTCTTAAATTTCTGTTGATCTTCATCATTTCTGTTGTCAAAAATTCAACCCTCCTTAAAGAGCCCAATCTTCAGAAGCTTTGGTGAATTTGAACCTGGGTTCAGAATGCTCTGAGGTGGTAGCGCTTGTGGGTCAGGGAAATGCTACACCGATCCTTGTGGAGAGGAATGCGATGACGGAAATAAGGATAATGGAGATGGTTGAGATAGTGACTGAAAGATTGAAAGCGGATATACTTGTAACTGCTCTACAAGTTCTGCATCTGTAAGCTTTGTCTTCTTAAAACATTCTAATTTGTTCTAACTCCCAGTTTAGATTTGAACAAAGCTGTAAGGTGGAATCTGAATTTTTAGGTGAGGAAATGGGAGTAATAACCCCGGTGAGCAATGTGATGATGACAACGAGACAAATGGAGATGGATGCGACCAAAATTGAAGCATAGAATCAGGATATACATGTAATGGATGGCCCTCGACTTGAGTAGCAAATCCATGACCAAATGGAATCATAGATTCTGGGGAACAGTGTGATGATAATAATGGAACAGATGGAGATGGATGTAGTTCGTCATGCCAAATAGAGTCAGGTTATGAATGTTCAGGAACACCTAGCTCATGAAACTTAATCTGAAGTAACTCAGCTATTGATTCAGGAGAGCAGTGTGATGATGGTGATGCTACTTCAGGGGATGGATGAAACTCAGCCTGTCAAATTGAATCTGGATATGAGTGAAATGGAACTCCAAGTTCATGAAATTTAATTTGAGGCAACTCAGCCATTGATTCAGGTGAGCAATGTGACGATGGAGGGGTAACAGCAGGAGATGGTTGAGATGCTTCCTGACAAATAGAGTCAGGTTATGAATGAAATGGAACACCTAGCTCATGAAGCCTGGTCTGAAGTAACTCAGTTATTGATTCAGGAGAAGCATGAGATGATGGAGGAGTGGCTTCGAGTGATGGATGAGATGCAACATGACAAATAGAATCAGGGTGGGAGTGTTCTGGAGCTCCTAGTTCTTGAAACCTTATCTGAAGTAACTCTCGTATAGATTCGGGTGAGCAGTGTGATGATGGAGGCTCATCAGGAGGTGATGGCTGAGATTCAACTTGTCAAATAGAATCTGGATGGGAATGCTCAGGAGCACCAAGCTCTTGTAACTTGATGTGAAGTAATGGGAGAATTGACTCAGGAGAGCAATGTGATGATGGTAATCTCATCAACGGAGATGGCTGAGATAGCACATGCAATATTGAAGGTGGTTGGGAATGATCTACTTCAAATCCAAGTTCTTGCAATCTCATCTGCTCCAACTCCAGAATTGATGGTAGTGAAACATGAGATGATGGCAACCTTATCAATGGAGATGGCTGAGATGATACTTGTCAAGTTGAAACACTCTACGAATGTCCAATATCCAACCCTAGCGTCTGCAACTTAATTTGAAGCAATAGTGAGAATAACTCACCAGAAGAATGCGACGATGGAAACACAGTTGACAATGATGGGTGAGACAGCAACTGTAAAATTGAAGAAGGATGGGTCTGATCATCTTATCCAAGTCAGTGCTCATTTTGAGGAGATGGTAAAATAGAATATGATGAAAAATGTGATGATAGTAACATATTATCAGAAGATGGTTGAAGCACTGTTTGAAAGATAGAGACCAATTATAAATGAACAGGAGAACCGTCGGTGTGTAATATTACTAAAATTGAAGCTTCTGCTGAAGTAAAACAAATCGGAACAGCGGTTTCAGCATCATTAAATGCTGGTAATTTGTTTCCTAATAAATGGTATAGGAATGTCCTCACAACTTGCAATTGCAACTATTTTAGGACAAAGTTTGTCATCAATGTGGATTCTTATCAACACACTCCAAATTATTAACTACTCTGCAATGATGACTTTGTATTTTCCTAAAATTGTCATAACACTTTTCAGCTACTTAGGAGTAGCCAATCTTGAAAACAAAATGTTCTCTAATCTGTACTTGTTGCATTTCGACAACTCTCAGGTTGAAGACAGAGCTTCATGGGATTACAGGTTTGAGAATCAGAATGTAGAGTCTACCAATGTGCTTCTAAACTGCGCAGATATGTTCTTTGCATTGATTTTATTGGCAATATACAATTTTTTTGTAATGATACTCGGATGAATTTTGAGACGCTTCTGGCCTTATGATAACAAACTTGGAAAAGATGCCAAATTTTGGACTAAAATAATGACTTTCTTTAGTAAGAGGGTCAGTGTAATGCAAGAAGAATTCTTTTTCAACTCGGTGTATAGAATTGCTTTTGAATTGTTTCTGGATATCTGTTTTGCCAGTTTGTACAACATCTATAATCTGCAATGGGTTAACTACATTGATTATTACTCTAATATTGTATCTTTCATATGGATATTTTTATTTTCTCTTATTCTACTTAGCATTCCATTTTTGTATTGCTGGATACCCAAGAACTACGACAAAGAAAACGGTAGATTCAAAGTGTTCTTTGAAGACTTTAAGCACAGTCACAAAGTGTACATGCTAGACCACTTTATATTTCTTTTGAGAAGACTTTCTTTGATCCTTGTGCTGATCATGAGGTGGAATCATGGAATCCAGCAAATAGGTATCTTTCTGATTGCATGAGTAATTGTAGTCTTATGGAAAATTATTGCTCGACCGTTTAAAAGTGCTATTTTGAATTTCCAAGATTCTCTCTTTGAAATATTCTTGACTTGAATCATTCTCATGTACTTTAAATTTACAAACTCAGATGATGAATTAGCCTCATCTGGAGCAAATCACTGGATTGGACTCGCTTGAGCATTTCTAGTATTAACAATGATTATCATAAACTTTATCACGATGATCTACCTGAATATTCATAAATTATGTTTCAAGAAGAAAAAGGGTCAAATCAATGTGAAGAAAGCGATGAAAAGGATCAAAAGGAAGATTCCTGCAAATATGGATGTGAGGGTTTGCCTGATATGTTTAGTTGAGGAAGATATATGAAAGAGAGAGTATACCCAAGAGGATGCAAGTAAGGCTTATTGAGTGTAGGGATGAATAGAATATAAAGTTAATCGGGTCTTCTGGATTCTTGAGTTATAGGCAGGAAATATTAGACATAGCCTTTATCGTTCATCTAAATGCGTCTTATAGGAAAATAACAACCTTTGATCAGAAATTTCAGAATTTCAAAAATCAGTATCAGACAACTCCAAAAGTACCTTCCCTCTAACCCTCTAGTGTCTATTTTCCACTCTAAACCCAACACTCGTCCAAGACTCCCTACCACAGACACAATTCCCCCCAAAATTTACCACCGTGATGACCCTAACCTCCCAAGTACGTCAACCCCACACCTCCCTCAACCCCACACCTTCCTCAACCCCACACCTCCCTCAACCCCACACCTCCCTCAACCCCTTAACCATTCCTCCTCCACTCCTCTACCACCCACAACCCCCATTCTTCCTCCTAAATCTCCTCAAAATCCCCTAAAAACTAGTCTTAAGGCTAAATTACAGCATTTGGCTCACAATGGAGCAAATAGCTTAGAATTTAAGCTAAATTTGGCAAAATGGGTATAATTGGTGTATAGGTGGATCTGTTCATGGCTTTGATAGGCAGCAGCCAAGAAAGTTACATGTTTCGAATGTTAAGTATGGAGAAAGGGTTTTTAAGATGTAAGTTAGTTCATTCTGGGATGACTGAGTTGGGGTTTTGGGGTTTTGGGGTTTTGGGG